TAAGCCTTCCCCCTGGAAGACTGTCCATATATAGAGACTTCTCCTGGGGAAGTCTTACTATATTATCAGTCTTTCGGGGCAGAGGGGGGCTCACATTAAGGCCATTCTCCTCTCTCCCTTCTCAGCAACTTCTTCCACTTTAATTTAGAAAAGTCATATCTGGTCTTGTATGTATGAATACAGCTTGTTCAGTACTGACGTTTCTTCAATTTTAACAGTCGTCACGGTAGTTCATTCAACAGAGCGCTAGCTCCGTGATCGGAAGGTCGTGTGTTCGAATCACGGCCGCGACTGACCTAAATCGATAAACATAGGTAGCAACTGTTCCTTCGCCAAGCGCTCGGCACTTTGAAGTGAAAGTTGTGGGTCCTTCGGATGAGACTTTAAAAGTCAAGTCCCTGTGTCATGGTAGGCGTTGGCACGATAAAGAATCCTCACTGCTCAATGGCCCCGAGTGCGAGTAAAGGTCTAAATTTGAAGTCCTTCACCGGCATATGGTGATATATCTATATGAGTGAAAAATTCTCGCAACGGGACGTAAAACAACATACAATCAATCAACTTTAAAAAATCATCCTTCTCCGGAAATAGCCTTAGAAACCTAACGACAATTAAGCATTTACTATAACTTTGCATTCGATGTAAGATATACGATATAGCTAACAAACGTTGTATCTAAGTTCAAAATAACGTGCAAATATTATATCTTTACATGTTTTCCTGCCGAATTCTACGGAAGCCGGTTGGTGCCAGGTAGAAAAAATATTTTATCTGGCGGCCGCCAAATAATTATCTGGCGGCCGCCACATAAATAACTGGCGGCCGCCAGAAACTTATCTGGCGGCCGCCAAATAATTTTCTGGCGGCCGCCAGATAAAAAGATCTGGCGGCCGCCAGATAACTTATCTGGCGGCCGCCAGAAAGTTATTTGGCGGCCGCCAGAAATTATCTGGCGGCCGCCAAATAATTATCTGGCGGCCGCCAGAAATTATGTGGCGGCCGCCAGATAACTTTCTGGCGGCCGCCAGATAAGTTATCTGGCGCCCGCCAAATATTTATCTGGCGGCCGCCAGAAAGTTATCTGGCGGCCGCCAGATAATTTCTGGCGGCCGCCAGATAGGTTTCTGGCGGCCGCCAGATAAGTTATCTGGCGGCCGCCAGATCTTTTTATCTGGCGGCCGCCAGAAAATTATATGGCGGCCGCCAGATAAGTTTCTGGCGGCCGCCAGATAAGTTTCTGGCGGCCGCCAGATAGGTTTCTGGCGGCCGCCAGTTATTTATCTGGCGGCCGCCAGATAATTATTTGGCGGCCGCCAGAAACTTATCTGGCGGCCGCCAGATAAAATATTTTTCTACCTGGCACCTACCGGCTTCTGTAGAATTCAATTATCTACACTAAGAATAAACGATAAAAACATTAAAAATAGATTGCCGCGAAAAAAAAAAAAAAAATCTTTAAAAAAAACCCAGTTGAAATGTAATTAAGATATATCATATCCGATATATTTGAAAGGGGGAGGGGTATATTTTAGCTGACACAATTTACTAAAGTTACTGAGCTAACATTAAGCTCTTATACAAAAGGAAAAAATTGACTGAAGAGCGTAAGCAGATTTCAAGACCATCGTTGCAAGTTGCAGAAAGCATCCAATGTGCATACACAGTATATTAACAATATGAATAAAACCCAAACAAAGCATGTTGAAGGGAAGTGGTTGTGGAGGAAGAGACACTATACACTCAATGACTCACTATATAGCTGGTCTTCTGGGGGAAGTCTCATTATATGACTCCTGTACCAGTATTTCGATTCCACCAAAATCTTATTGACATCGTATCATGCACCAGAATCTCAGTGACCAGGCCAGAGTAGTCAAGAAACTGTCCTGGAAGCAAACAGCTCCTATAAAATACAATGAATCAAGAGAGAAGTAAGGAAAAAGGTGCTTTCATCTCACTTCTACAGCGAATGCATTATGTGAATTTTAAAATATACCCTTTAAGGTTTCACTATCAGAAACCATGTTATTAACAATTAATTTTTGATATGCTGATGATCCTGTCCTTACTGGAAAATTGGATAAAGATCTTTAGCATTATCATCGTGACAGGGCTGACATATTGGAAAACAATCTCAAAAGCCATTTGCAAGAAGTAAAAACAAAATTCGCAAGATTAATAAATCTCAAATGATCTGTAATGCAGCAAGTGTACAGTGTAAAAGTTAAAGTATTTTGGATCTTAGAACATAAACACTGCTATGATTTTGAATGCAATTACTAGTACTCTATGAACAGAAATGTGGTCCTTGGGCCACAATGTTCATCTAACTAACTTAAGTTCTGTTGTTCTCGAGGGAATTTTAAAAAGATGTTACTCTTTTATATTCCCATGAAAAATTGTGATCCCCATCGTGGCCCCATCATAACTCTAAGGGGTCTCTAAATCCACACACCATGGGATTGCTTCAATAACAATTATGGAGAAAAAAATCTGTTCCTGCATACATACATAATAAAAAAATATCTACCCCCGTTTTAGCAAACTCTTAATTATGGTCCATAATTTAAAAAAAAATGTGTCAACACAATTTGGAAATGTTTGCAAAGTAATGGGTCTACTGGGGTTCTTGGGAAGATTTTTGAAAAGGTTTTTTTTTCTAGAGAGTCCATGTATAGCATCGTGGCCCACTCTACCCTCGGGGCACATAATTTGTATAATTTAGAATCTACATTATGTCAGAAAGCTTTCACATTTTCATTTTTTCTGATCCAGTTGTTCTTGAGAAGATTTTTAAAGATTTGTTCCAATATATTCCAATGTAAAATATTGATCCCCTGTTGTCCCCCTACCGTACCCCTTGAGGTTATGATTTGAAAAATTTAAAATCTAGATTATGTCAGGAAGCTTTTATGAAAGCTTCAACTTTTCTGTGGTTCTTAAAGATTTTTAAAGAATTTGTCCTATTCATTCCAGTTTAAACTTTATCCCCTATTGTGGCTCCATCCTACCCCCAAGAAGCCATGATTTGAACAATTTAGGATTTTTACTATGTCTGGAGGCTTACATGTAAGTTTTATTTTTCTGGTCAAGTGGTTCTTGAGAAGAAAATTTTTAGGTTTTTTTCTGTATGATATATTTCATTGTAAAAGAAGGTCCCTTGCTATTGCCCTTACCTACCTCATAGAACCATGCTTTCAACAATTAAACATCTACACAACCGTACAAAATATCAGAATTACATAAAAGTTTCATTTTTTCTGGTCCAGCAGGTCTTGAGAAGAATTGTTCCTTTATGATATACTCCAAAATAAAATTTGATTTCCTTTTGTGACCCCAACCTATCCCTTGGAGTGGGGAGGCATAATTTTAACAATTTAGAATTTATAAAATATCAGGATGTTTTCACATACATTTCATTTTTTTTCTGGTCCAGTTGTTCCTGAGAAGATTTTTTAAAGATTTGTTTCAATATATTCCAATGTAAAATGTTATTCCCATATTGTGACCCCTACCACGTGGGCCATGATTTGAACAATTTAAAATCTACATTATATTAGAAAGCCTTTTATCCTTTCTGGTCCAGTGGTACTTGAGAAGGAAATTTTTAAGGATTTTTTTTTTACTATTTATTCTAATGTAAAATTTTAATCCCCTAATGCTGTTCCACCCACCCCTGGAGGCCAAGATTTAGACAACTCGGAATCTATACTACATGTATGTTTGGAAAGTAACATATAAGTTTCATCTTTTCTGGTCAAGTGGTTCTTGAGAAGAATTTTAAAGATATTTTCCTATATGATGTATTTCTATGTAAATCTTGGTCCCCTAGTGTGGCTGCACCCCATCCCCGATAGCCATGATTGAACAATCAATTAAGAATCTAAACTACGTCTGGAAGTTTTCAAGCCAGATTCATCTTTTCTGGTACAGTGGTTCTAGAGAATTTTTTCCCCCAATATGTTCAAATGTTAAATTTGATTCCCTATTGTCACACTTACCCATGATTTAGATTCAGGACCATGATTTAGATTCTATATTATATCAGGAACTTTTCAGGTACGTTTCATTTTTTTTAGGTCCAGTGGTTCTGGAGAAGTTTTTTAATGACCCTACTATATTTTTGCTTTTTCTTAATTATCTGTCCTTCACCCATTACCCAAGGAGTCTTTGGGCCATCTTTGGTTAAAATTGGTCCAGTGGTTCTCAAGAAGTTGAAAATGTGAAAAGTTAACGGACGGACAAACAGCTAGACAAAGACGGCGTCGGGCAATGGGTATTCAGACAAAAGGACTGAACAAAATCCTCGATATGTGATAGGGCACTTGAAGGCTGTCCTCCCATCATAAAAATTAAGTTCCTAATATCATTCAAATTCCCTGCACAGAAGTCCTTCTACAAGTCAAAAATTTAACAGATGGGCTTCTTTTGTAAATATCATGTTAATAAAATACGATTGATGGGTTTGAGCTTGAATAGGTACCATATTGCTGAGGTGGCTACTCCTATGAATTTAACGTTCCACTGTTTTTTGTTAATGTTCCTAATATTTGTGTCCTGAGAGTTACATCCCAGAAAACTATAGTTATGAAGCTGACCAAAAAGAAATTGACATACCACTTTTCCAAGTAAGAAATATTTAAGTACAAATTAGAGATATTTAAGTACAAATTATATGCCCTTTGCAATGGCAAAATTTTTCAATAAATCTAGCTCTATCTTATATCCACATTTTGAATTTACCTGGTGGCAGTAAATACAAAATTTACATGACAACTACACACAAAAATTTGCCTTTAGTGGAACTTTTATGCTTATTTTAAAATGGAGAAAATTGTTATGCTGTAAAATAAATTAAAATGGGTTGATCTGATTGGTTTGAAACAACTCTATTCCATTAACAGAAATTTTCATATTCAACATAGAAATACACCGTCAGGTGGAACACCTTGTCACTGATTATATACTAGTAATCTTGAAATAAAATGAAAAAAGCTGGACCATTTTTATAGTTTATTTTGATGTTTTTCACCATGAATAAACTGTATTTTAAAAAAAAAACAAAAAAAACAAGCAAATAACAATCCTAACTGCGGTATATCATGATGAGTTAACAATTATTTTGTTCAACTCCACAACAGATCATGACATACAATCAAGCACTGGTATATACTTCCAAGAAAACAATAAATTAGTACTAGTACATAAATAATCACAAATTACACAAAATAAAGTCAAAAATTAACTTTTAATTTTAAATGCAGCTAAATGCCTGCAGATCAATTTCATTATAACTAAAACCTGAGCAATTTCTGTATTTCATGCATGCATATGTAAACAATGAAAATGCATCATAGAAGTATTTGGTTCTTCTGAGTTATTTGAACTAATAAAGAAGTATTCTAAACTTTTCTTTACCAAGCTTCACACACAGAATAACTCTGGAATACAATATATGAATATTTAGGCATTTATACCACATCAATTTCAAAATAAATTGCACAGAATGAAACTGCACCATTCCGTCAACTGAATGGTCACTGAAAGGTCTGGAAATGTGGCTATATGACAAAACTCTGCCATTCAGTCACCTTGCAGTAAACTTTCAGTCACCTTTCATTTAATTGAATGGCATAGTACATAAATACTACCTGAAGTCTCCCTGTAAACTAGCAAAATATTATAAAACAAAACAATGTTTATCTAAGTGTGTATTTTATCATGAACACTAGAACTTTACATTTGTGATGACATATCTTTTATATCTATATCAAGATCCCGAATTATCATAATCATTAAGGTATACAGAATTTTTAACTAGCATGTACAATACATGAAAAATAAATTAGAAAATGTGACACAGGCTAATTATTCAATACACAAGTCTCAATACTAATTAGCATTTATTGTTAGGTTAATTAAACTGATTGAAAATGTTGTTATACATGTTGTAATACCAAATATTATGATATCATTAACATGTTGCTTTGATGACATTTGTTTCTGTGTTTTGTTCATGCCTTATATTCATCAATTGAAAGAAAATGGGTGAACAAGCTTAAGCTGTAAAAAAAAAAACCTATGGTTCCACAAACAAGAAAGTGAAAATTAAATTTCAATTAGAAAACAATTTTCTTTGTTATTTCAGTTAACATTATTGTATAGTTTATGTAAATTTTCTAAAATTTGCAACAATCTCACCAAGATTGAAATTATTTGTCTATGAAATAGCAGACATATACCAAAGAGGGTAAAAATGATCATTTCTCCAAACTATAACATCATTTTTCTATGTAAGTGGGTCTTTGCTCCATTTTTTTTTTTTGAATTTCAAAGTATATCTTCAAAGTAGGTCTAAAAATATACATTTTTGCTTAAAAACATGGAGTAAGGACCCACTCTACCTTGCAAATACACTGTTATGTCACAAAATTTGTATCTTTATGAGAAATATTTGAAGTCCAGTTACTCAAAGGTCATATTATAAACAAGATTTAAGTGCCGCTACATGTACCTGTAATGAGCTGTGTAGTGTAGTGGTTAGCATATCAGTTTCCAACAAAGAAAACTGATACTTAGGATTTTTATTGCTTTGGTTCAAACCCCAAAATATCTTTTGCTATTTTTTAATCATAAAATAATTTTTGCCACAAAAAAATTGTTTGTCATTATTTCATACCTTTCAATTCTTAGAACTTTGCTCCAAATACTTAGTTCAACAAAAGAATTTGATTTTTTATACATTAGAAGATATGTAGGAATTTTGCACACCTTGTTCGCCCATCTTCTTAAAAGAAAGTGCTACAATCACCGATTAGAGCAGTTTCATAATTAAAAACACTGCAATATGTAAGTATCATGCATAGGTTGATAATTCATTCCTGAAGTAATTTGACAGACATAAGTTTTTCTGATTCCCCATGTTCAAGATTCTCAATCATTCTAACAGGTTGTATCTTTAGAAAGTGTGCACTCTCATCTGAATAAAAAAAATCCCAGAAATTAAAAATTCCACCTCAGAATGTATATCTTCTCCATTCATAAATACTATCTCAAGATCTGATCCCAGTAATAACAATTCACTTAAGTTCAAGACAAAATCTGAGTATACATGTACCTTAATGATACTGAACTACCAGACACAATAGAAAGACTGCATGAAGCAAAATTATTTAGTAAGTACTAACTTGAATAACAGAAAATGATTGTATGCGAATTAATACATCTCGTATTGAATTCAAAAGAATTCATGACAATCAAAAATAGTTAATAAATAAAATACAATAAAATACACATGAAAAATTAAAAAACAACAATAAATTCGTCATTGAATTAATACATCTGATACTGAATTCAATAGAATTCATTGTAAAAATAGATTTCATTGTAAAAATGCTATCAAAATATACATAAAAAAGCAACACTAGACCTTTTTGAACCTTTCACTTTGCTAGATCTCTCTTGAAAATGACAAAATATGCATGTGCCTAGTACGATAGGGAGAAACTCTTGCTAAAAGTATGTCTTTAACATAATTGTACCAACTAGAAACTGACCAGTCAGCAAAGGCTGTTGTACATTTCTTAATACAAGGGACTAATAAGAACTTCATACTTTTAACATTGATTTTTATATTCAATTCTTAAAATTATGATTCAAATAAACATAACTACTTCAATCAAATTGGCCCAAACATGAATTTAGTCAGTACAAACATCCCTGATACAGTAGCTTTAACTTCAAAACCGACAATTGTTGCAATAAGAGCTGTTAAATGATCTTAATTTGACAAGTCAAGATTAGTCTTTAGGCATTTGAAGGTAATTCATTTAAAGTATGGACCATTTTTCAGAATTATCTCTCTTTGTTCATTCTTACAAAGTCGGGAATCCTGCCTTAACGCCCTTACCCCAATATTATAAAACCAACTGATATCCGCTTTTTCTCTTATCTCTTGCCTTTTTTCAATCAGTATTGTTTTTTTTTCAGAATTCTTTGACAAAATTATTTGTATCTAACCTCTTAAATATTAAAAAAAATATTCTCCAAGCCAGGTTTACTTTTTCATCTCTATGAACCCCTCAAATATTTGTTTTAAAGAATGGTTCTAGCCAGAGAACAAGTTCTGAAATAGTCTACTGAAAGCACCATGGAGTAAATTAAAATGATGAACATGAAATAGGCATCTTAACATTGATTATTCATGTTAGACATTTTAAGAATACAAATGCACCAATACAATGAAAAGGTTTCTAATGAGCAAAAATGAACAGCATTGAAGTAACATATTTCTTTTTACGATATTTCTTAAATATTTTCATATAATTCAGATCTAAAATTCTACACATGCACATTGTTTATTGGGTCATTTAATTAAAATTACGTCTACATGAGACACTACCCACACACCCATGCACACCTTTTCATCACATTATATCTACTATATTTCAGATCTAAAACTCCACAAAATTGTTCTTGCTGTAATGATTTAAAATCCATATACTTTAACATCACATAATTCACACAAATAATTGTTCAATATACATTAATCAAAGCCATGTCTCCACTGACTGTAAGATTCACAGGAAATTGAAATTCTTGGTAACCTATTTTTTTTCCAAATGCTACAAGCTTTTTATTTCACATAAAAGACAGAGTAACAAGAGTGAGAGAGAGGGGAATAAAATTTCCCACCATACTATACAATATATCTTGGAATTCTCTCTACATTTCAAGATGAAATTTAACATATTGCAATTGCTATTATTAATTTATCAACACATTTATATTACAGAGAAATGACAACTTTTGTGTACCATGGGACTAGATTTAAACAAAGACTTGTACTTCTGCTTTTGAAAATCAACAAAGTACTTGAGTTTACACAAACTCCATGGGTATGTTTTTGTGCAAAGTGGAACTTGATGAGAAATATTGATACCATTGTATAATATTTTCACATAGTAAGGATTAACCTTTTCATAAATGTTTCTGTAAATTTCTATGGCAACATGTGACCCTGGGTGGGTGACCTTGACATTGCGATACCTAAATGATGACATCAAGTATGAAATAAAGGCTCTATCAACAGCATAGATGAAAACCTTTTCAAAAACATCTCTTATCATTTGGACATTTTTAAAAAACTCTTGTAACCATGGGAATGTATGCAGATCTGTTAGCTGTTGACATCCATGATGGCCACTGCAGGATTTCATTCCTTTGTCCATTAAAAGTAAGGAGTTCTGGACAATATTTTCTGCTGTTTTATTTCTAGATTTTTGAGAAAATGAAGAGCAAATATTTGGCAGGACATTAGAATAAAAATGGCCAGTTCCACTATCCGCTTGGGTGTGTTTCATAAAGTGTTGATCAAGATAATCAGTCAGATTGGGTTGAAAATTACATTCTAATTTTATATCCTTCCTTTTAGACACCTTAGTGATTGCATCTAACATCTGAATATTTACATTTTTAAAATGTTTCTGTGGTAACATACCATGCAGAAATGATATAAGACTTGACAAACTGTCTTTTTTATCCAATGAATGAATTCTAAAATGTTTAGGGGCAACATGACTAGCTTCAATATTCCATTTTTCCATATACAGTGAAAAGTATTGTTTTCCTAACTCATGGAGCTGATGATGAGCCAAGGGATGCAATTCTCCCTTCTTACAATGAATACTGCTGTTTGTGATGGGAACATTTTGAAAAATTTTGTGAAGAGCTGTGTTTTTCAGATGATGAACTTGAGCTAAGTAATGCCTGCTCTCTGGAACTTTGACACAGTTTGGGATATTTTCTGAGGATGTAATGCCAGGCGTGAGAAGAATGTGGACCTGTTCTAAGCTGAATCCATCTGGTATTGGACCTACAATATAATTTAGTTATTGATTAAAAATCAAACACATTTTTAAAATATTAATCAACCTCTAACCATCATACATATTTATTATGAACAGGAAAGCAATCATATGTACTGGGAAACAGTCTTTACTAAAAGAAAATACATTCTCACATCAAAGCCAATTCCCATTGTATCTGGGATCACCGAAAAACCTTGTGACCTTACTATCTTTATTTAGTCCATCACCAGCAGATACAAGTCAAACTGAAAGATAGAGTTTGGGGCTGTTTGGTACGTGTTCTGCTCTGTCATCAGTCTGTCAAACAGGTGCCAATATATAGGATTATCTGTCAGGTTTTATGCTAGGCTAGGTGTCCTTAAAATTGCACATGTGATTATGGTCAGGTCATAATTTTATACATGTACTTCTCTACATTTCACTCTCTAAATAAACAAATCTATATGGAATTCTTGTGAACAGCTAATTTATGCTCTTTTATTAAATCATATTTATCTAATAAATTAATACATATACACTGTACAAGATTTGAAAAACTGTCAAAAAGGTTATCATATATATTAGTCATGTGCAGATCTAAAGGGGGAAGGGGGGTGGATGGGTCCGGAAGTATCAGCATATGAAGTTTGAAAAAAATATCTTGAATAGTTTCTTTGAACTGAGCTAAATGCAAAGTGTGACAGAAGGACAGACGGAGGGATGGAAGGACAAAAGGACATAAGACAGACATGACAAACACAATATACCCCGGCCATATTCATGGCGGGGCATAAAAATTATAAAACAAAGTTTCTCTTATGATTAATCTTCAGTGTAAATCTGCTCACAGGGGCCTGTAACACACTATATATATGCTGGATTTTACATGATCACTATATATATAATGATCACATAAAATCATAGTATGTTCCCGGCCCATGTTCCCAGTATAAGGTTTTTATTTCGGAAAGGGTAAGACTTGTTACCACCAATCTCCCTCAATTTACATCATAATAAATGTTGGGAAAATGACCACCTCATATCCTAACAACAACCTTTTGACCTTGACTTTTCAAAGTGTGACCTGTAAATCAAACTACTGTTCCTATACATAAATTGACGTATTCAAAATTTAGCGCAATCACTAGGTATTGACATGTTGGCATATTCATGAATTAGCACTACACACTACCGCGCCATATATTGTATTCATAAAATGATTTAGCATGAATTAGTCATGAATTAGCGCATCGTTGTCCGCGCCAAAGCCACTAAAATACGAAGCCCGCTTTTTAAAGGACACATACAGTATGTCTTCTTTAACCACCCTCCAATAAAACAAGTAAGAAAAATTTAATTGGGGATTCATGCATTACAACTCATGCATGACCTTAAAATGAAAACAACCAAAAACTGTTGGAAAAAGTAGCATTTTGAAAGCACTGAACATACCATGGGTAAATGTCTATATTTTTAAACCACTGCAACACCTTTCATTGCAAGGATGGGGCAATTGTAATAAGTAACTGAATCAGCTGTAATCAATTACAGACTGCTGTGTAATCAGTGTAATCATGAGTAATCATGCATTCTTCTGATTACAATTAAGCAATTGTAATTTGATTACTCTGAAAAAGGTCTTGTAATCATGATTACTTTCTGATTAAAGAATTTCATTGAAATGAAAAAAATTATACACTGTATAAACAGAAACGAGAAAGTATCTTGTTGTAGTCTAGTTGTTTGCCAAATTCTCACTTTTACCCAGTAGAGCTAAAAATTATGATAATGTGTTATCACTCCTTGATACAAGAATCTAAACCTTAATTACTATTTTCACAAAGGTCTCAGCTGGTATCAGGAATAGCACAAGGATTATTCTAAGACATACTAAAGTACAAGCATGCACGTTATACCATTAAAAGGATAAAAATGCACCGTCTCTGTCAAATTTATGTGCTAATTTATAATGCAAAATGTTTTCCAAGAAAACTGATCCTGTGAAACTTGTTTTTTTTCCTCTGTTTAATAGCTTTTTACCTTACAAATTACATGTACCAGGTAATCATAATTATTTTTCAAATTCAGCCAGCTAATCATCATTAATTAAGGATTTACAGTGTTTCAAATTGAAAATTCATGCTCAGGAAATTATTTTTAAAAAAAAATTCTGTTGACTCTACAGATCCCTGAAAATCATATCCCTTATGTGGAATCAATTTTCATGTCTTTTCTTATGAATGTCAAAAAATTACACCCATGCAGTACTGGAATTTAACTTTCACAAAATTAACCATTTGGTACCTTTTTCTTGAAACTATACCTGTGGTTATTTGATTCGGTTGATGTCCATAACAGTAGTGTTGCAACCAGAAAGGCAACAACTTTTCTGTAGCAAATTTCCTAAAATCGCCCGAGTGCTCAGTCTGTCCTACACTTCTGATACGTCTGTGCAAGGTAGGAAGAAAGTTCTGCTGGTCTTCAGTTCCATGTGAGGTAGATAGCTTGTAATGGAGGAACACAACACACACTACAAAGAAAAGAACCATTGATACATGCGTAGGTGACACCATGAATGATGAATGGTTTGCCTTTACCAAATCACTTGGAATACACCTTTTAGCTCCATGCCACTATAACCACTGTGTTGCCAAAAATGAAAGTGGCATATATTATTTCTGTGCTACAGAAAATTTATTTTACCGGTAATTAAAAACAAAAGTTAATGAGTACATATTTACTTTTTCTGAGTATCATATTCAATTAAATATTAGTATATTCATTATCTTCAAAATTAAATATAAAGCTGGAATCTTGTCACAGAAAACACTATTCTACTTCTTTTTTTCCTTATTAAATTAATATCTGTGCAACAATGTTTCCACACAAAATCCATTCAGGGAAACCTGTTATATAAGCAAGTTGCAACAGAATCTGTCTTAAGTTCAGAAGATCCTAGTTTGAATTTTTATCCTTTTAATAAATTTATGTTATATGCAAAGCCTTATAGTTAAGGTTCATCATAACTCTTTTAATTCATACAAAATTTTGATGTTCTTATTTTTATATACCAAGATGCAGTACTTCAGTTTTTTATTGACTTGAAAGATCTTCAATGATGGATACTGAACAATAAGTATTACCTTAGGTAAAATATACAATTTACATTGATCAGGTTTCCATGGATATGGAGTGGTTTTGATATAATTTGCCCTAGGACATAAAATTCACACTCTATTGATCAATCTCCTACCACACAGCTGTAATTATGGCTGTGCAGTGACTAGCAAAATCCAATATAAATGATGTAAAACCCTACTTTTTTTATTTTGAAAAGTAAAACTCTTCTTAAAATAAAAAATAAAATGCATCTTATGTATGGGTGTGCCTGTCAACTTTGCCAGAGATACCAATCTTTCATACCACCTGGTAGATTTTTTCTTCAAAAAAGCACATTCTTATATAACTTTAAACAATATAATGACATTTCATGTAATGTTCTATGGATGTGTGTTGTAGTAGACTACAATATACACATTGTTTCAATACCTTTAAGTTCCTGGTTATGTTTACTTTTAATCTGATGTTCCTGGTTAAACCCATATGCATATTATTTACATGTATATCTGTAATCATTACTCTTAATGGTATCATGCACCTGTTACCTTTATGTGGTATGTAGCCAAGATACACTCTTCCTGTAATTGCTGTTTGTCAGTTTTAATTATAATGTAAAATAAATGTTCTTTAAAATGAAATGGTTTTTCCTATAATTTCTTAGTAGCATTTTTTTGTTAATATAGATGTATGACTGATTAGCTATGGGGTGTCCACACTGTGGCTTGAAGCTACAATTATAACCCTCAGATTTAAAATCCAACACTCTACCAACTGAGCTAAAGGGTTAACCCACTAGCTAGCACTAAAAGGAGCGTGGCCTCACTATTTACAACACATAGCCACTTTTACATTGTGGCCCCACCCTACCCTCAGGGTCATGATTTGGACAAACCTGAACATACATTACCTGTAGATGCTTACATATAAATATGACTGATCGTGGCTTTGCTGTTCTTCATCACAAGATTTTAAGATTTCTCCTATGTATTCGTATAGAAAACTATGATCTCTATTGTGGCCCCATCCTTACCCTAGGGGTCATGATTTGAACAAACTTGAATCTTTACAACCTGAGAATGCTTCCATATTAATATGATCAATCATGGCTTTCCTATTCTAGAGAATATTTTTAAAGATTTTTTCCTATTTATATCCATATAAAACTTTGATCACCCATAGTGACCACACCCTACCCCCAGAGGATTTGAAAAATTTGAATATACACAACCTGAGAATGCTTCCATATAAATATGACTAATCATGGCTTTGCTGTTCTTGAGAGATTTTTCCTATATATACCCGGGTCACCCATGTAAAATTTTGATCACCCACAGGGGGTCATTTTTTTAGCAAATTTGAATCTACACATGTTAGGAAGCTTTCATAAGTTTCAGTCCAGTGGTTCTTGAGAAGATTTCTAAATGACCCCACCCAATTTTTCCTTTTTCTTAATCATCTCTCCTTAGAAAAGGGAATAGCCCTTCATTTGAACAAATTCCCTTTTCCCAAGGAACTCTCTGCCAAGTTTGGTTGAAATTGGCCCAGTGGTTCTGGATAAAATGAAACTTGTAAAAAGTTTACAATGACAAAGACGACAGACAACGGACAAATTTTGATCAGAAAAACTTGAGACTTCGGCTCAGGTGAGCTAAAAATAGATGTGAATATTGAACATCAACGGCATTTTTTAGACTTTCAAAATATATTATAAGAAACCTTTTTAATTCCTTTAAATAATTCAATATCTATTCAAACACAGCTAAGTCAAATCTTCTAAAAAAGAAAAAGTTTAAGGAGGAATTGGACAACAAGAGGTACTGACATGGTGAAAAAGGTTTGAAAATTTATGTTTTCAAAAAACATTTTTCTAAGAAACTTTTTTTCAGATGCGACATAGTAAAAAAATTATCATGGCATCAAAACGATTCTAATCACAAATCACGCCTCCAAAATCAATTATAGATCCTTCCCTTTTAAGGTTGATATGTTTACTAGTAAGATGATTCATTAAGATCATCTTACAGTCAATCAGTTTTTGACCACAATGGTGAACTGCAAGCCAACAAAAATTTTGCTGACAGACTTAAAGCATGACAAAACAAAGGATATGACATCAGTTCTGTCTTTCCTCTTCCTCTAAATCTTCTTACATTAATCTACGCAGTGTGAAGTGAAGATGTATCTTATTTAAGAGGATTTTGGTTAAAGTATTAAAAGACAGCCAATGACTTATTCAATGAAATTACGTGTCAAATAGCATTGCAAAAAGCACTGCAAGTGGACAAAAATCTAAAGTTACATACTTTATATATGTACCTTGCATAATTAAAAACAGAGAGAATACACTTATTGTCTGGGTTCGAGGGCTAACATGCCTTTTATTGGACCCAAGAACCAAACTGTTTGCCTGAGGTCATTAGGCCAAAGGCAAACAGTTTGTTTCGAGGGTTCGGCAAAAAATGTTTGTCCAAGAACACAGTCAATAAATGTTTTGTATTATATAACTTATACTTTTTACCATAATGTATCTTGCACTGGCTTCAATGTTTGCAATGAATATGACAAAATTTCTCTGTAAATTTGGTTTACCTGCACTGCAGATTTGACTTGATCATTTCTGCCACTGTTGAACACCAAAGAATGCAAATAACGTATTATTAATAGCTGATCCTGCCTATGCTTGACATAAAAGAACATCACATCAGTCCAAATCTCATCCAACATTTCACAGAGTGGTACAACATCTAATTTTTTTTACCGCTCAGTAAAACATTGGAAATGTTGACTTAATTTAGTATGGAGTTAAAAACGAAACAATTTTAAAAAGTGTTATACTGTATAACAGGACATTCAATGAATTGACAATGTAAAATTCATAAATGAAATAACTTTTATGTGAGAGTTGGATTACATCAAAATGTTATTTATATCTGTGTACTCAATGTAAAACATGTCATTCTGTGCAGTTACTCATATGAAATTGAAGTTTAGTTTCTGGTATATTTAGGTGAAAAGGAGAAAAAAAATGGTGCAGAAGTGATACACACTACATTACAGAGCTAACCTTGCCTTTATTTGCAGTGCTTTAAAAACATTTGATTATATTTTCTTGCTGAACTTTTGGGTCATTTTTGTGTAAACAGATGATTTTTCAGAACGAAATGTGTCGGTAACTAAGACCAAAAAGCATGCTATACATGTATAACTCATTTAACTAAAACATTTTTTGAAAATTTTAAAGCTTGGCAGATACCACAAATAACTAGACACCTTTCTATGACCCAAATGTATAATACAGCATCATAGTGCTGAAAATTGAAAATGGTATTAGTTTAATATTGTCAGCAGTCTCTCTCTCTCTACAATCATGCAAATTTGCAAGTATAAACCATTTCATTTCATAAGATTTATCATGGCTATTCAACATCATAACTTGTTAACTACTGTATTTATAAATTAAACTTAAAGAAATGTTAGTGCTGTAACTGCTGTTTCATTGGTCAGATGACATCAACAAGTGTGACTTCATGTGTTGAGTGATAAGTAGATATACAGTGAAAGAGATGATAACAAGGCCCAAGGGCCACAATGCTCACCTGAGTCACCTTGGTCTGTTCTTCAGCATTTTTTTTTTAACAATTTTATTCACATGAAAAATTCTTATCCCAAATTATGGCTCCATCCTAGCCCTAAGGGTCATTACATAACCGAACTAGAATCAGCACATCCAGGGGATGCTTCAATACCATTATGACTAACATGGACTTGCTATTCTGCAGAAGTTAAGATGCATATGTTAAAACTATCTCCTGATTTACACATTTTTTTTTTCTTTGAAAGCGATGGCGATATAAAAAATGTTAATATCAACAAACCTGTCGAGGAGCACCTTCACTAGCCCTGCGCAAGTCTCACCGTGCTCCCATTTCTTCCTCATCCAACGATTATATTAACCCCCCAACTAAAATTTGGCCACGAAATTCACTTTTTCAAGCCCTATTTTCAGTTTGTTTTTTTTCTTGTTCAACCTACCAGGCTATCCTCTTTTACCATGCTGTTTTTTTTTAATTATAAGCATGCATGAGTTAATAGCATGGGATGTGGAGCCCCTAACAAGTTGTGATGTATATTTATGGTCCATAAGGCCAAATAAAAATTATATGTGGTTCCAGTTACCCAACCGTCCCTATTTTATACCCCCTACCCTAAACTTTTTTTGGCAATTTTCATATTTTTTCCGGAATTTCCCCAATTTCCATCGATAGCTCAGGTTTAAGTTTTAGTTTCAGCAATGACGGCCTCCTTGCAAAACATAGTGCAAGTGTTTAATAGTGTTAAATCCAAAGCAAGGTAGCTTGTAGGTGTCCCCTACCAATATTGACTAGTATATTATCACACCACATCTAAATGCCACTTGCAAAGCAGTGATAGGTATTATTTAGAAAAATTAGGAAAATTATTTTGTTTAAAAAAAAAAAAAATCCCTACCTACCTACCCTAATTTTTTTGGAGGTGTAACCGGAACCACACATATTTTTTTGTTTGGCCTAAATAATTATTAATTTTAATGAAATAATCAGAGTTATTTATTTACGAAACTAGTAATTTTCTGAAGTTTATTCATTTATGAGTACATGTAAGTAAAAAAATTTATAATCCTATCAAAATTTTTTTTATTAAGTCTTTTTTGATGAGATGCGCCATACTGTCTCTTTAATATTTAAAAAAAAAAATTGATCCACACTAGAATGTTTCCATATACGACAGGGCTCTCACACCCATTTTTGGTACTGGGGCCGGGGCCAATGGAATTGGGAAAAAAGCGTTGTTTTTATAAAAATTGGGAAATTTTTACCAATCATAATTTTAACTCTTTAAAGAAGAAAAATCAAATAAACACAGAATAATCATAAAAACTGAAAACAAATCATCTTATTTATTCAAGGTAGATCTTAATTAGACATGTAATTGACTGTTCAGATGTTTAGAACTTTGAAATAAAATGTTCATCTTTAAATGTCCTGAAATGCTCTAGGGCTCTGGTCAGAACTTTAAAGAGGCTGAGGGGTTGTGGCCATTTTTAGACTATATTGATCTCCTTTAGAAGAAGAGCTCCATATGAAGATATAGAAAATGATCAAATTTTAAAACTAAAATTTTTGAAGTTTTTCTTTGCCAAATGATAGTTGACAGCTTAAGATATCAAATCTAAAAAATTAAGTTAAATCTGGTGGTTAATTTGTGGTTAATTTGTTGACCCCCCAGCCTCCTTAAATGTTTGTCTTTGGATGTCCTGAATTGCTCTAGGGCAGGGTTTCAGTAACCACTAACTCAGAATGAGATTCTGTTAATTGTAGAGCGGCAGCCTTTTGTTTAAACAAAGTGTCTATTTTCTTACATTTGTTAGTTGTCTTAGTAGAAATCTTTTTTCTATAGTATTCACATTATGCGACATGTTTGTAAATAAACAAGTCGTACCTAAGAGAATTCGTAATTTACGGTACTATAGTTGACTTTCGCTTTCATTTTAAACTGGTTCCAGCATATATACGAACTACCAGTTTACAACACGGAAGTGTTTCCTTCATATATCTTCACAGTGCTTTTACGACTGTCAAAAATATGCTTTATATTTTTTTTTACAGTAATAAATTTTAAGCAATCATACATTGGGAATTTTTACACTCAAATTTGGGAAAAAAGGTGCCTTTTTCACGTTGGGAACGGGGCCGAATATCGGCCCCAATTAAAGAGAATCGAGAGCCCTGTACGAGAATGTAATTTAGTGTAGCCCTGATATTTTTCAAAAGAATTTTTAAAATCAGAATCGTAATAAATTGCTATTTAAAATTTTTATCCCCTATAGTGGCCTCAATCTACCCTCAGCAATGGGGGGATGCCTTGATTTTTGCATTACTTGGGATGCTTGCATATTAATACATGTATTATTAATCATGGCACTTTTGCTCCTGAGAGGATTTTAATACATTTTCCCCTAGATATTCCCCTGTAAAATGATCCCCTATTGTGGCCCCTCCCTACCCAGGGGCCATGATTTGAACTGCAGTCTGAGGATGTTTGCATCTTAATATTACTGATTGTGGACCTGTTTTTCTTGAAAAGATTTTCAAAGAATTTTCTGTTTCTCTCTCTCTCTCTCTCTCTCAAACCAGCTGTTTCAAAATTTCCCTTTTTTATAATTTATCCATAATTTAATGAGAGTTTTGTCTTTGACAGATAAGGTATTCTTTTGTACGCATGTTATGAAGAATTCGGATAGATACTTAATTGTGCTGCGAGTCTAATTAAACATCGTTAATAAGACTGCACTTTCTTGTACACAATGTGCAATCTCACTAATGAAGTAGATATACACTTGTAAACTTGATCATGCCACTTACTGTTCAGAATAGCTTCATATTGGAAGATGAATATTCCTGTACTCTGGAATAGTATAATGTTGTGTGCGCTATATGTGTCAATTTACATAATGTCAAAGTAATGTTTAATGATGTAACATTGCAATATGGATTTAAAATTGATTTTTTTGGCTTCCTTTTTGATAAGAGAAAAACCATATCTTATTGGCTATCACATATATATGCCAGTTCAAAGCAGAAAAAACAAATCATGAATAAATTACTTGTATTGATAATAGGTATATATAGTAGACAGATATGAAGTGTTTGATAGAGATCGAATTTTGGTTCCTGTCTGATTGATATATGTACCCAGTAAAACTACTTTTAAAAGATCTTCCTTTTCCATTCCTTTCAGCAACATCTCTATTTAAGATCTAAGTTTAATCACCTCAGTTTAATGTTAATCTATGATAGACTGATAGTTAATTATTTAAAAATCAATGCACTCCATTTCTTTTCAGATTCTGCAGATTTAATTTCCCTTCTGATACGACCTACAGCACGGGTATCGTTTGGGGGTGGGGGGATGGGGGGGGTACATATCTCTAGTCTTTTAGAACAAATCAATTATATGTAGGCCTCTGGAATATATTTTTTCTAAATAGTTATACATTCTCAGTTTCTCACATGTTTTCTTTAATGAAAACATAGTGGATAATAAATTATACATATCTTATCTGAAAATATTTCCTTTAAATTATTTCCTTTTCATAATTTTCATTCAATAAACTGCAAAGCAGGGAAGCAGAGAAAATTCGATATTTTGTAAAAGGACAAACAAAGGTACACTTACACAATGTTGTAACAGTCACACAAACAAGACCAATGTCTGAGAAGAATCGCTTGTTAAAAGTCCATGCATTTTTCTTGTATCCCCGTACGCAAGGCACGTACATCCTCATGAACATACATGGCAAGTTTATGCCCCATATCTTAACACAGACAGCACACGTGTTTATTTTGCTTCGTGCTCGTTAGCCTAGTACCCGAGGTCTTCCGAGTGCATACACGCTTGCACTCGGAAGGCTTCGGGTACTAGGCTACGTGCCGAGTGCTACGTGCTCGTGAATCTGAGTGGTTTCGCCCCAATCACCTGTTCACCCTAAGTGGATTCGCCCCATGTTTTTTTTTTTTTTTGGTTTTGTTTTGTTTTGTTTTGTTTTTTGTTTGATTTTTTTTGCAAACATACAATGTACTTGATGTTTATAAGCAAAAGCTTTGATCAGTGGGTGTTTAGCAGTTTAGATTACCATAATTAATGAGCACTTTCATTAAATTCAATAAGTTGCCATTCAATACCAAATAATTATTTCCGATTAAAAAAAAATAATAAGGACATATATAATACAAGCAAACTTTATTTTTCCAAAAGTCATGAAAATAACAACTTCATCTCCGTTTATAGTAAAATAAATAAGTTTAGACGCATAAAGTTTATTTCAAAAATCTCCATATTTTTCTGAAATATTGAAAAAAAGATTTACTTAGTAAGGGCAGAAATGCTTGTAAATGATGCAATAAAGAATACCTCTCGATTCCCGCCTACATTTTATCCCCATCTAATTCAGTATAAATGTCATTTAAAACTTTTTTTGAATGCAAAGAAGGGTTCATTAGTAATTGATTTATAATTCTAAAATCAGCGTCAAAATATTAATAAAGTACATTTTTTTTAATTTGCTATCTCATTAGAGATTGATTATAAAACGAACTTTTTTTTTACTGTTTGTGTGTATGTGTGTGTGTAAACATATGCCCCCCCCCCCCCCCACGCACACACCGTGAAACACAAAAAGCTTTGAGTCGCCCGCGTGGCGCAGTGTATAGAGCGTCTGCTCCAGAGTCGCGAAGTAAGGAGTTGATCCTTAGTCGCGGGTTCGAACAACAGTGGCTGTCAGCTATCATCCGCAACTGTACTCGGCAATGCTGGTACCGGACATCCATGACTGTACCTGCTCACTAATATCAAAAACGGAATGTCAGAGCAAGATTTTCCGGATTGTTCAACGTATTAAACTATATGTTGTTGATTAAGTATGGATTGTTTTTTAATGAAAAATACGTGTTAATATGGAGGAAAGAAAATTTCTGATTTTAAATAAATCTACTTTATGGAAGGCTGTAATCGCCAAAACGGTAACGATAACTGGCTTAGTAAATATATCGCGGAAAATATATGTAAGCTTGACTATGCCTAAATCCATTGTATGAATCGCTATTATCTCTAAAAAGTAACATTTACTACAGCGTACATTTTGTATATCTATGACTGTATCCTGTGCCTGATATACAACATCTGCGACTGTACCTGTGCCATACATACACACTACCACTGACTCAACCCGTGCTTGATTAACTAACATCCACAACAAAAAATTCTGTGGATTTTCTCCGATTTAGATTTAGACTGAATCAATCAAAGCGCAATTAACGCTAATCTTTATATTACCCATGACAGTGATACCGAGACAAACGAACAAACGATGTCAGCAGTAATTAGGGAAGGATCCACAACTTTTACAGATTTAAGTTTAAAGCTTTATGTTCAGAGTACAATATGAGCCAGGTCTTTAATTTTTTTTTTTTTTTTTTTTTTTTTGGGGGGGGGGGGGAGCTGGGGGCATGATTTCAATATCCTACGTGCTCAATAATAATGATGAATTTAAAATGAAACATGCTAGTATAATTATAGAAAATATATGAGTAAACAATAAACAAAGTAAAATAAAAAAGGAAATTAAAATAAATATTGGAATTAATTTGTAATCCTTAATTTTATGTTAGAAAGTATAAGTACTTCACAATATTATTAATTTCACCCATTTCATTGATCATGCAAGTGGTGTCAATGAAAAACACAGGTTTTTTCCCATAAATATATGTCTTACGATATATACGGGTGGAATGGGCTGATTCACCCGTTTTCAATGTGTTATATATAAACATCTCAAGTGCACCCCAGGAAGTAGCCTCCTATGCCCTGCATGAAAAAGAATAGATCCTGACAAAAAAAACCTTTATTTATTTACAAAGTACATAAAATTTACTAGGCACAGGCATCAAAGTTGTAAAAATAGACTGGAAGAACCCCCCCCCCCCAAAAAAAAAAAAAAAAAAATTCTCAAAAGAAATAAAAATTAATTTTATATGCATGGAACAATTAACATCTTGACTGGTGGATAACCGTGGTGTGATACCTGAAATATGTAGGGTATGGTATTAAAATAATTGATCATATCAAAGGAAATAAATGCTATAATTATCGATAACATCCGAAGAAAATATTTGTATAAGTAAATATTTTTATTAGATCCACCTCTCTGAGATTCTGCTGTACTGTCCAGACAACTCTAGAAATTTTACACCATGACTGTACCGGTGTCTGATTGACAACATCCACGACTGTACCTGTCCAGTACACACACTTTATTCTACATCCATGACTGTACCAGTGCTTATAAACAACATCCATGACTGTACCTGTGCCTTATAAACAACATCCCTGACTGTACCTGTACCTTATAAACAACATCTATGACTGTACCTGTGCCTTATAAACAACATCCCTGACTGTACCTGTGTCTTATAAACAGCATCTATGACTGTACCTGTGCCTTATAAACAACACCCATGACTGTATCTGTGCCTTATAAACAACATCCATGACTGTACCTGTCCAGTACACACACTTTATTCTACATCCATGACTGTACCTGTACCTTATAAACAACATCCATGACTGTACCTGTGCCTTATAAACAACATCCCTGACTGTACCTGTGTCTTATAAACAGCATCTATGACTGTACCTGTGCCTTATAAACAACACCCATGACTGTATCTGTGCCTTATAAACAACATCCATGACTGTACCTGTCCAGTACACACACTTTATTCTACATCCATGACTGTACCAGTGCTTATAAACAACATCCATGACTGTACCTGTGCCTTATAAACAGCATCCATGACTGTACCTGTGCCTTATAAACAACATCCATGACTGTACTTGTTCAGTACACACACTTTATTCTACATCCATGACTGTACCTGTGTCTTATAAACAACATCCACGACTGTACCTATCCAGTACATACACTTTATTCTACATCCCTGACTGTACCTGTGCCTTATAAACAACATCCCTGAGTGTACCTGGGCAGTATACACATCTTACTCTACATCCATGACTGTACCTGTGCTTATAAACAACATCCATAACTGTACCTGTCCAGTACACACACTTTATTCTACATCCATGACTGTACCTGTTCCTTATAAATAATATCCACGACTGTACCTGTCCAGTATACACACTTTATTCTACATCCATGACTGTACCTGTGCCTTATAAACAACATCCACGACAGTACCTGTGGTGTATACACATCTTACTCTACATCCATGACTGTACCTGTGCCTTATAAACAACATCCACGACTTTACCTGTCCAGTACACACTTTATTTTACATCCATGACTGTACTTGTGAGTTATAAACAACATCCACGACTGTACCTGTGCAATATACACATCTAAATCTACATCCATGACTGTACCTGTGCCTTATAAACAACATCCACGACTGTACCTGTGCAGTATACACATCTTACTCTACATCCCTGACTGTACCTGTGCCTTATAAACATCATCCATGACTGTACCTGTCCAGTACACACACTTTATTCTACATCCATGACTGTACCAGTGCTTATAAACAACATCCATGACTGTACCAGTGCCTTATAAACAGCATCCATGACTGTACCTGTGCCTTATAAACAACATCCCTGACTGTACCTGTGCCTTATAAACAACATCCATGACTGTACCTGTGCCTTATAAACAACATCCATGACTGTACTTGTCCAGTACACACACTTTATTTTACATCCCTGACTGTACCTGTGCCTTATAAACAACATCCCTGAGTGTACCTGGGCAGTATACACATCTTACTCTACATCCATGACTGTACCTGTGCTTATAAACAACATCCATAACTGTACCTGTCCAGTACACACACTTTATTCTACATCCATGACTGTACCTGTGCCTTATAAATTATATCCACGACTGTACCTGTCCAGTATACACACTTTATTCTACATCCATGACTGTACTTGTGCCTTATAAACAACATCCACGACAGTACCTGTGGTGTATACACATCTTACTCTACATCCATGACTGTACCTGTGCCTTATAAACAACAACCACGACTTTACCTGTCCAGTACACACACTTTATTTTACATCCATGACTGTACCTGTGAGTTATAAACAACATCCACGACTGTACCTGTGCAGTATACACATCTAAATCTACATCCATGACTGTATCTGTGCCTTATAAACAACATCCACGACTGTACCCGTGCAGTACACACACTTTATTCTACATCCAAGAATTTACCTGTGCCTTCTCAAAACATCATCCACGACTGTACCTGTGCAGTATACACATCTTACTCTACATCCATGACTGTACCTGTACCTTATAAACAACATCCACGACTGTACCTGTGCATATATACATACTTTATTCTACATCCCTGACTGTACCTGTGCCTTATAAACAACATCCCTGACTGTACCTGTGCAGTATACACATCTTACTCTACATCCATGACTGTACCTGTCCAGTACACACACTTTATTCTACATCCATGACTGTACCTGTGCCTTATAACAACATCCACGACTGTGCCTGTCCAGTACACACACTTTATTCTACTTCTATGACTGCATCTTGCTTTATTAACAACATCCAAGAAAAGTAATTCAAGGCTCTACTTAAAGTTTGTTCTTTTTCGTTTGTGACCCGAACCCCCATCCCCAATGCAACCCCCACCCCGTCAAAAAAAATGAATCATATGCCTGCAAGAAAGTGTGGGATTTAGACTTTTGTTTTTAAGAGGAAATACTCCTTCTTTCGATATACTCCATCCTCGCCTTCACAACTTCT